AGGAGGAGAATGCAGTTGAGGTTAAGAGAAGAAACTCTTACTAAATATTACAGTCTCCTCACACCACTCCCCTCCTAACCCAGACAGAAAACTTCTATGCTTCTACAACAGTCCAACACCATGGACACGCTACCAATACCAGATGTGTGTTTAACAGAAGCTCTGTCGGAAACAACCCTCGATGTCTTCCCCCTAACGAAAATACAAATGATAACATGTGAATCAAACACACTATGAATAACCTGAAATGAAAGAAAACCACATTACACAAAAATAAGCACAGAAAAATAGTACACTAATGCAAATACATGTCATCATTACCTCATATTAATGCTCACCATGACTATAAACACCCCTACGAATACCTATGCACATCTCTTTGAACCAACACAAAGCCGAATGACTTACTGTGACAAGACCCCAGCTTATATACTGCCTAAGCTCCACCCCTCCGTTTCCCAGCATGCTTTAGAAGCCAAAGGCAGTTATAAATACAGACTCAGGTGACACAGAAACCCTTTAGTTCATTCCTAGCTTAGCAGTGGCAAGCACTGTTCATCTTGATGTATTAATCAGCCTTCCTTCTTACAATACAAATTTGCAGAAGACTTAAACTCTATCACCAGGTAACACTATAATTACCATGTTTCAGCTTCCTAAAAAGAAAACGCTACCTAGAGGGAAGAGGGGACTCCACAGTAGGTCCAGTTGGGGGCTGCTGAAAGAGGTACCTCAACAGTGCTGGAGGGGTGCGTTTGTACTGTGAGAGGGTATTTAGGGGGTAATGGAAAGATTACTTAGCTGATGCTTGAGGGCATACCGCGGCCTCAAGCTCAAAATGGAGGGCAGTGTCACTCCCTGACATGCTGCCCGGGGAGCTGCCACAAGCCAGAGAAACTGCACCATCCCCATGACTGACTTTAGGGAAAATGGCAACCTGTGCAAACTTGTACTTTGCCCTGAGCTACCTCCCCCCCATCCCCTGCACACCCCACTGCCTCCTCCAAGTGCTTAATTTACGTAGACAAAGGTCACAGAGCTCAGGCCCGGCACAAATTAAGCACTGTATGGGCAGCTAGAGAGCACTGGCTGCCAGGTAGGCACCCGGCTCTTAAGGCGATGCCACCACCCCCAGCAGAATCGCAGACGTAAGGGTCGCGTAGCATAATGCCACCCTGATGCCGCCGTTGCTGCTGCAGCTTGTGGTGCCTGGCACTCAGCATGCGGCTCAAGGTGGACTTTGTGCTGTCACACGGGGGGCTGCATCTTGCCAGAGCCCATAGCCCTCTGGCCGCTCCCAGCTCACCAGAGGCAACGTTTCATATTTTGGGGGGTAAGGCAATTTTAATCATGATTCCAGGGGCTATTTGAGCACCTGAAAACTCCAGGTTTCTTGCACATGATAACTTAGATATAGAACTCCTGTCAGCTAAATCCTATTTCATATATATGTGTGTGTGTGTATATATATATATAAAGGAAAAAATATAAACTGAAAATGTGGCTTTAGTTGGAGTTTGTATCTGTGTACGTTTAGAACAATCAGGAGACAATACAGTCCCACTCTCAAGCCTGACGGTGTCAGTTTTGGAGCTTTAACACAGATATCAGAAACACACATTTGCTATTTTGTACATTATCTTTAGTACAGATATATACAAAGTGAGCAAATAAGCAGATTTTAAGCAGAGTTTATTTAACACACAGTCTGTGTTACTACCATTATCTACTCAAAATTAAGTAAATGCTTTTTAGTGCAGTGAAAAAGCATTCACTAAAATAAACATGAGGGAGGCAAACTGAATGAGGGAGGCAAACTAGTGACAGAGGATGTGGAAAAAGCTAATGTACTCAATGCTTTTTTTGCCTCTGTTTTCACTAACAAGGTCAGCTCCCAGACTGCTACGCTGGGCATCACAAAATGGGGAAGAGATGGCCAGCCCTCTGTGGAGATAGAGGTGGTTAGGGACTTTTTAGAAAAGCTGGACGTGCACAAGTCCATGGGGCCGGACGAGTTGCACCCGAGAGTGCTGAAGGAACTGGCGGCTGTGATTGCAGAGCCATTGGCCATTATCTTTGAAAACTCGTGGCGAACCGGGGAAGTCCCGGATGACTGGAAAAAGGCTAATGTAGTGCCAATCTTTAAAAAAGGGAAGAAGGAGGATCCTGGGAACTACAGGCCAGTCAGCCTCACTTCAGTCCCTGGAAAAATCATGGAGCAGGTCCTCAAAGAATCAATCCTGAAGCACTTGCATGAGAGGAAAGTGATCAGGAACAGCCAGCATGGATTCACCAAGGGAAGGTCATGCCTGACTAATCTAATCGCCTTCTATGATGAGATTACTGGTTCTGTGGATGAAGGGAAAGCAGTGGATGTATTGTTTCTTGACTTTAGCAAAGCTTTTGACACGGTCTCCCACAGTATTCTTGTCAGCAAGTTAAGGAAGTATGGGCTGGATGAATGCACTACAAGGTGGGTAGAAAGCTGGCTAGATTGTCGGGCTCAACGGGTAGTGATCAATGGCTCCATGTCTAGTTGGCAGCCGGTATCAAGTGGTGTGCCCCAAGGGTCGGTCCTGGGGCCGGTTTTGTTCAATATCTTCATAAATGATCTGGAGGATGGTGTGGATTGCACTCTCAGCAAATTTGCGGATGATACTAAACTGGGAGGAGTGGTAGATACGCTGGAGGGGAGGGATAGGATACAGAAGGACCTAGACAAATTGGAGGATTGGGCCAAAAGAAATCTGATGAGGTTCAATAAGGATAAGTGCAGGGTCCTGCACTTAGGACGGAAGAACCCAATGCACAGCTACAGACTAGGGACCGAATGTCTAGGCAGCAGTTCTGCGGAAAAGGACCTAGGGGTGACAGTGGACGAGAAGCTGGATATGAGTCAGCAGTGTGCCCTTGTTGCCAAGAAGGCCAATGGCATTTTGGGATGTATAAGTAGGGGCATAGCGAGCAGATCGAGGGACGTGATCGTTCCCCTCTATTCGACATTGGTGAGGCCTCATCTGGAGTACTGTGTCCAGTTTTGGGCCCCACACTTCAAGAAGGATGTGGATAAATTGGAGAGAGTCCAGCGAAGGGCAACAAAAATGATTAGGGGTCTGGAACACATGAGTTATGAGGAGAGGCTGAGGGAGCTGGGATTGTTTAGCCTGCAGAAGAGAAGAATGAGGGGGGATTTGATAGCTGTTTTCAACTACCTGAAAGGGGGTTCCAAAGAGGATGGCTCTAGACTGTTCTCAATGGTAGGAGATGACAGAACGAGGAGTAATGGTCTCAAGTTACAGTGGGGGAGGTTTAGATTGGATATTAGGAAAAACTTTTTCACTAAGAGGGTGGTGAAACACTGGAATGCGTTACCTAGGGAGGTGGTAGAATCTCCTTCCTTAGAGGTTTTTAAGGTCAGGCTTGACAAAGCCCTGGCTGGGATGATTTAACTGGGAATTGGTCCTGCTTTGAGCAGGGGGTTGGACTAGATGACCTTCTGGGGTCCCTTCCAACCCTTATATTCTATGATCTATGATTCTATGATTCTATGAAACATACATGATTGATGTGGTGTTTTCTCTTTTATTAAGAAAGGAAATTCGTTTCTCTAAATATTTTTGCATTTATGTTTACCGATCGATCAAAATCATGTACATGACTCACTAACGTTTGACAGATTTCAGAGTAGCAGCCTTGTTAGTCTGTATTCGCAAAAAGAACAGGAGGACTTGTGGCACCTTAGAGACTAACAAATTTATTTGAGCATAAGCTTTCGTGAGCTACAGCTTATGCTCAAATAAATTTGTTAGTCTCTAAGGTGCCACAGGTACTCCTTTTCTTTTTACTAACATTTGAGTCCATCATGGTTATTAGTATTGTACATGTAACCACATTTATTTTCATACAAATATTAAGTTATTTTACAGATATCACTAAAAATATGATTTGAAAATAAGCGACCTTCAGCTGCACGGTCTACAGTTGTGAGTAGATGCAGAATTTATGTTCTAGCAGGATACTATTATTTGATTGTCTGACTTTTATCATATTGTGCTTTATCATTGTTATTTTAAATAATTAATGACAATTAAGCAATTACAATTACCAGCCAGGACAGGTTAGGCATTTTAGAACTCATTTCTACCTTAGATTTAATTATTTGAGTAGTAAAATTATGAAATGCACAGATCGCAGAAAAAAATAAACAACCAGCACTGTAACCCTTAAACTTCGAAATGCACCATGCACATATAGTCTCTGCAATTTTATTCTTTCAAAGGCAGTAATAACAACAGTACAAGTGTGTATGTGAGAGAGAGGCTGTGTGTATTTGGAGAGTGAGAGACGGCACACTCTTACTTTAAGCGGAGACCTCGCTCATCAAAAGGCTTGTTCAGTCCAGCAGCAGCACTCAGCATCTCCCACTCAGGACCCAGAGGCAACAGCACAAACTCCTCACCCCCCTACCCAAGCTCAGCAGAGACCAGATACAAAGACAGGGGGATTGTGACACCCCAGCATCAGCCTCTGCAGAGCAGACAAGAGGTTCCCAGGACCAGCTTGGCCAAGGGTTGCTCCAAGTGTGGGTAGGGGGCAAGAGCAGGGGCACTGAAACAGAGGGCACCAGGGAACCATGACCCATTATTTTTAACATTACTTTCTACAAGTACTTGTGTTTCTCGACAGGACAGTATTCAGGGCACACCTCATGTTCCCAGGAGGAGTGCTATTGATGACACACCTCTTGTTTCTGGAGGGGACAGTATTCAGGACACACTCCTTGTTCCCAGGAGGAGTGCTATTGATGACACACCTCTTGTTTCTGGTCGGGGGACGGGCAGTATTCACGTCACACCTGTTGTTTCCAGAGGGGACGCTTTTCAGCACACACCCCTTGTTCCCAGGAGTACTATTGTTGCCGGCACCCAGTGCCAAGAGGCTAAACAACAGCTGAAGTTGGCTTGTTACCCGGTGTGCTACACCCAATAATTACAATGGGGTGGAGAAGCAGAAAAGTTTATTTGAAGCTTCAAAAACGTACAGGGAGATTTGAATCTCAAATCCTGTACACAGAGCAGGAAGTTACACAGGCTTTTATACATCCTTTTTTTTAGCATACTTATTTAATAGCAAGCTGCCCCAAGTATTTATATAGCCAGCCAATTCAGTTCCCAGGTAGTTCCCTGATTCTTTGTATTATTTGTTAAACTATACATAAAGCTGCTTTATTTAGCATTGTTTTTCCATATTTGCCCTGTGTGGCCTTGCTTAGTTTCAGGCAATCTGACTTCACAGCATATTGTTGCAGATCCTCAGCATAACTGCTGTGTGTGCCTCCAGGCGGGGGCGCCAAGGACACTTGGGCCTAGTACGCAGAGCTGCTGCGAGTGCCTCCAGGCAAGGGGGTGGGCCAAGGACACCGGGGCCTAGTGCGAGGGGGCTTCATCGACACTCATGGTCTTCCATCCCCTCGAGTTACCTAGTGGCCATGCCCCAGTGTCCTCAACAACTCCCCCCCTTTGAGAACACTCAACAACCTTGGCTCTGAGTTTTTTTACTTGGGCTACTTATTTTTTTACAATAGGACTTTGCATAAGCATTTTGTGATAGCCCTGAAGAGAACGACTTATTAACTTTTGCAAAAGGGCCTTAACACATAATACTGCACAGCATAATACCGGTAATACAAGCAATACAGGAAAGAGAAGTTTCAATAACAGGCTAAATAAACCACCAAGCCAAGACGACAAACCCCAGCCTGAAAACAAGGTTTGCAACCAATCGCTCTTGGGGGCAGTATAGGCAACCTGTGCTCCGGCTCGGGCATGGGCCTCAGCCTGTACCACCTTTTTATAGATTGTATAACCGCTATTATTTACATATACATAATATTGGGGCCCGACGAGGGCACAAACCCCTTTTTGGGATGCCAAGAGATAGTCCAAAGCCAGCCTGTTTTGGAGGGAAAACGTTTTGAGCTGCTGTACCTTTTTATTTAATGTTTTTATTGCTGACCCTAAATTACTAACCGAGTTTTTTAACTTTAAGGCCACCTTTTTAAGTACCATTTGCAGCCTTATACTATAGCGGCCTATGCATGCCATGGCTGGCCCGGTAAACAGTGGCGCTATTCCCAGTACAGAGCACCCTACAAGCTTCTTGGTTGTGAGGGGATTTTTTATATTGCCCTTCAATGCCGTAGTCAGTTGCCGCAGGGTTTTTTTTTGTGACTTAACAGAGGTGTCTTGGGCATTTTTAATTTTTTTTTTTGGGCAGTGTGGCAGTTATTGACAGATGAGGAACTCCATGAGCTATATAACAGCTACCTGTCCAGTTGGCTGGCAGCACCTTGTAAGCCTTTTGGCCACATATAAAATAGTGACCCTGTAGGGCCCAGTAAGGACTGTTTTTTAAGGGGATTTCTGGGATATTTAAGGCTGCTTTGGCTGCTTTTTTAAACAATTCATATGCCCCTAAGGGGGCATCTTATTTTTTTTGATTGGGGACAAGTGGGGGCGTTTTTAATTGTGCCGTTTAAATTATACTTGCCATAGGGACCATTACAAATCCACCATTGGCTTGCTACATTGGAGATATTAACTGGACTGCAAGTTATATTTCCAAACCTTTTTTTCTGTGGTAAGAGTATTTGTAAGAGTTTCTTTAAAAGGGGAGGAACCATTACACCCACACTGTTGGCCTCCCCTTTTGGTTTTTATTTAATACCCATCAGCCCACTGTGTAATAACACAGGAGCTTTTTCCCACAGGACGCTCATAGTGATTAGATTGGTTTTAGGTAAAACATAACACTTCCTTAGCGAGTACTGCAACTGAATACTTCTGGTCCTGATAGGTGGCTTGCTGTAAAGAGGTCTTATTCCAGAACGGCGAGTCCGTTCTTTTCTGCTTTTTGGTGGTGGCTAATTCTGCTAGGGTCAAGGGCAGCATGTCAAGGGGCATTCCTGTTTTTGGGGGACAGTGGAGTTGGAGTACATACCCAGCAATCAGTCTGGTTTGTTAAATTAGCAACATGGTGCGCAAGCGAAACAAAGGAGTTATGCTCCCAATATGCACACTTTGGAAATCCCAATACAGAGAAAAACAATGTTACCCAATTAATTATTACCAGAGTCTTCCCAACCCAGGGTCTCCAGTACCTGGGTGGGCCCATTTTAGCATTAAGGTGCCTGCTATTTGTGTTTTTTAAACAGTAGCTTTAGCCCGAGATCATCACTAGATGAGGAGTCAGCAGGTTGGACGGTCCACTGTTCTGCTGACGAGGGGGTGGGTACTGCCTTCAGACGAGAGTGATGGATCCAGTTCTTGTGTCCCTCGATTTTTGCCACTGTATGGGAGATCAGCAGGACGGTATAGGGTCCTTTCCACTTTTCCTGGAGAGGCTCGTTTTTCCAGGTGCGAACAAGCACAGGGTCACCGGGCTGTAAGGAGTGAACGGGAGAGTCCAAGGGGAGAGGCTGGGAATCCTTGGTATACACCTGTGAAGAGACAAGAGAACAGCAGACAGGGAACACATATACTGTGACAAAAAAACATTACCCAACTCCCATTCCCCTGACAGAACCGGGGTGCCATTCATAGGCCATGCCCTTCCAAACATAATTTTAAAGGGACTGAGCCCTAATCTACCCTTTGGGAGAACGGGGATACGGAGTAGGACGAGGGGCAAAGCATCAGGCCATCGCAGTGAGGCTTCTTGGCACACTTCTGAGAGATGCCGTTTAAGGGTCTGATTGGTACGCTCCACTACCCCACTGGCTTGCGGTTTCCAGGGCGTATGGAGTTTCCAGGGGATCTGTAAGGCGTGTGAGATGCTTTGAATGATTTCTGATGTGAAGTGTGTCCCGTTGTCAAATTTCATCCACAGGGGGAGTCCAAAGCGAGGAATGATCTTCTTAACAAACTTGAGGGCCACTGTTTTGGCAGTGCAATTACGGCATAGGAAGGCTTCTGGCCATCTGCTGAACCGATCCACTATAACTAGGAGATATTTGAACCCTTGGGTCCGGGGAAACTCAGTAAAGTCTATTTGCCACACTTGTCCGGGGCCCGGAGTGGGTTCTAGGGCAGCTGATGGCACAGGATGTCCCGGTCGGGGGTTATTCTTTTGGCAGACTAAGCAGTCCGCTTGTACCTGGGCAGCCAGGGGTCGGAGTCCGGAAGTGATAAAATATTTTCCCATTAGTTGGATAAGTGCTTCCCTGCCAGCATGAGTGGTTTGATGTAGTTTCTGCAGCACTGGCCGGATTAGGCCCTTTGGTAAGAGGACCTTCCCTTCTGGGGAATGGAGCCATCTCTCCTTTTCCCGGAGATTGAGTTTGTCAGTTAGCTGTCTCTCCTCCCCAGAGTACTGAGGGGTTGGAAGCTCCCCTACTGATGGGATAAGGGCATGCATATGGGCGTTCTCAGTCTGAGGGGATGGCAGGGTGGCAGCATGCTTTGCCTCTCTATCTGCCCGGGCGTTACCTTTGGCCACATCTTGATTCTTCCTTTGATGGGCTTTACAATGTACCACCGCCACTTCCGAGGGGAGTTGTACAGCTTCTAGGAGCCGGAGGATTTGGGGCCCGTACTTGACTGGGGAGCCTTGGGCTGTCAGCATTCCCCTTTGCTTCCATAGGCCAGCATGAGCAGGCAGCACACCAAAAGCATACTTTGAATTAGTAAAAATGTTGACCCGCTTTCCTTTTGACAGTTCAAGTGCACGGGTCAGGGCTATCAGTTCGGCAAGCTGGGCAGAGGTCCCAGCAGGCAAACCTTCAGCTTCCACAGTGTCATGGAGGGTCACAACAGCGTAACCTGCCCTCCTTTGCCCATCTATTACAGTACTGCTACCATCAGTGTACCACTCATAATCTGCATTTGGGAGGGGTACATCCTTTAAATCCGGACGGCTGGAGTACTGGACATCTATGATCTCTAAACAGTCATGTTTCTGTTCCTCTGTTTCTGGCAAGAGGGTGGCTGGGTTAAGGGAGGGGCAAGGCTGTAAGGTGACTTCAGAGTTCTCTAACAGCTGAGCCTGGTACCGAGCAATCCGAGCCTGGGTGAGCCAAAGCCCTCCCTTTGCATCCAATAAGGCTTGGACCATATGGGGAGTATAGATTTGCATAACCCCTTCCAATGTTAGCTTCTCGGCTTCCTCAAGCAATAGGGCAGTAGCTGCGACCGCCCGTAAACATGCCAGCCAACCCTTTGCAACCTGATCCAATTGCTTAGAAAAATAAGCCACGGGACGTCTCCATGCTCCTAACAGCTGTGTAAGCACTCCTAGGGCCACCCCCCTTCGTTCATGTACATACAACTGAAACGTCTTAGAGAGATCCGGCAGGTCCAGAGCTGGGGCGTCCATCAATTTTCTTTTCAGGATTTTAAATGCCCTATCAGCCTCTGGGGTCCAATAGAAGGGGTCATGATCCGCTCCTTTTACACAGTCGTACAGGGGTTTAGCCCACAGTCCAAACTCTGGGATCCATATCCTGCAAAAGCCTGCCATACCCGGAAATGCCCTGAGCCGCTTACAATTATTTGGAGAGGAACTTGACAGATAGATTCCTTTCTTCCTTTTTTTTTTTTTTTTTGCTTGAACGCTGACGCTCCCCTTGCCTTAGCTATAACCTGATCCCTCTCCACCTCAGACAACAGGGTTCTCAGGAGGATATTACAGTCGTCTCAATCGGCTTGAGACTACTGAAGACTGAAATAAACCTGCTTGCGTTCGTTGAGAATTCCCCAGCCTGTGTTTTAAAAGCTGCTAAGTCTATTGGATTGAATGGCACATGGGTGTAAACTTGCATAGTGGTAGCCTGACGTCTGTCTGCCCCTGGGCAAGCCACAACAGTCTCGGTAAGCAAAGGATAGAGTACCATCGAGGGGGCAATCTCTGTAACCCCGAGGCATCCTACCCTTATACGGTGGGGGTGTGGGGGCCGAAGGGGACACCGGCTCTGCCATTACAGTGGGGGTGGGGGTCTGGGGACTAACATTAGCTACTACCGAACCAGTCGGAGTCAAATTACAACTTTGCAGAATTACAGCTCTGTTCTATTCCTTAAAGCCATAAACGCTTGTGCATACAAATATTCATTCCATTTACCCATTCACTGACAAAACAAAACTAATTGGAGGATCGTGTTGTAATTAATTGACCCTCCTGGTGGCCACCACTCCTGGTCCTCTAGTTGATATTGAGGCCAGTCAACTGTACAGAATTGTTTTAATTGGCTCTTAGTCATTGGATTCGCACCAAATACCTTCTAGTTTGCTAGAATGCACTCTAGGGGCATACACCGTGCCCTAACCCCTGAGCTCTGTCCCTGTCCCATACCTACAGGGTAACTCTGGGCGTCCCCAGGTTCCAACAGAGCATACAATCCGGATTTTAAAAGGTTCCTACCTTATCCAAGGGACCGGTTCTTCACCGTGGCCTGCAGCTGCTCCTCCCCCATGTCTAAGGGACCGGTTCTTCACCGCCGTAGACAACTGCTTCTCCACTATATGAGTGCGTTGCACCATTGTGCCCTCTGGGGTCGATCAAATTGCGTCTCCTTCGAGGCCCCGATGAACTCACCGGTGCGCGCTGGGCGTCGGTTCTCGCCGCAATCCTCGACCTCCAGGAAGGGTCCGGGCAAGGCTAAATTGCAGCCTCGTCGCCCACCCAGGGACGCCAAAAAGCTGTTGCCGGCACCCAGTGCCGAGAGGCTGAACAACAGCTTGAGTTGGTTCGTTACCCAGTGTGCTACACCCAATAATTACAACGGGGTGGAGAAGCAGAAAAGTTTATTTAAAGCTTCAAAAAGGCACAGGGAGATTTGAATCTCAAATCCTGTACACAGAGCAGGAAGTTACACAGGCTTTTATACATCCTTTTTTTTAGCATACTTATTTAATAGCAAGCTGCCCCAAGTATTTATATAGCCAGCCAATTCAGTTCCCAGCTAGTTCCCTAATTCTTTGTATTATTTGTTAAACTATACATAAAGCTGCTTTATTTAGCATTGTTTTTCCATATTTGCCCTGTGTGGCCTTGCTTAGTTTCAGCCAGTCTAACTTCACAGCATATTGTTGCAGATCCTCAGCATAACTGCTGTGTGTGCCTCCAGGCGGGGGGGCCAAGGACACTTGGGCCTAGTACGCAGAGCTGCTGCGAGTGCCTCCAGGCAGGAGGGGGGGCCAAGAACACCGGGGCCTAATGCGAGGGGGCTTCATTGACACTCGTGGTCTTCCATCCGCTCGACTTACCTAGTGGCCATGCCCCAGTGTCCCCAACACTATTGATGACACACCTCTTGTTTCCAGAGGAGACAGTATTCATGGCACACTTCTTATTTCTGGAGGACACTGTACTCATAACACATCTCTTGCTGCTAGAAAGGACAGTATGCTGGACATAGCTCTCGTTCTCAGGAGAACTATTAATGACTTACCCCTTCTTTCTACAGGGGACACTATTTGGAACTCACCCCTTCTTTCTGGAGGGGACACTATTCAGGATAAACCCCTTATTCCCAGAGGAGACTGTATTCAGAACACACCTCTCTAGAGGGAACAGTCTTCGGAACATACTTCTTGGTCCCGGTGGGGACAGTATTCGTGACACACCACTTGTTTTTACGAGAAGTATTATTGATAAAACACCCCTTCTTTCTGTGAGAGGACAGTATTTGTTACACATCTCTCCTTTCCAGAGAGGACTGTATTCAGGACCCACCTCTTGTTCCCAGAGTGAGCACTATTGATGACACACTTCTTGTTTCTGGGGGGCACAATATTCGGGACACACCCCTTGTTCCCAGAGGAGACAGTATTCAGAACACACCTCTCGGTCCCACTGGGGACAGTAATTGTGACACACCTCTTGTTCCCAGGAGTACTATTGATGACACCCCTCTTGTTTCAGGGGGGACACTATTCAGGACACACCTCTTGTTCTCAAGAGCTGTACTATTAATCACACCTGTAGTTTCCATGAGTAATACTGTTAATGATAAAAAGAAAAGGAGGACTTGTGGCACCTTAGAGACTAACAAATGTATTAGAGCATAAGCTTTCGTGAGCTGCGGCCAATGAAGTGAGCTGTAGCTCACAAAAGCTTATGCTCCAATACATTTGTTAAGTCTCTAAGGTGCCACAAGTACTCCCTTTCTTTTTTACAGATACAGACTTACACAGCTGCTACTCTGAAACCTGTCATTATTAATGATACACCCCTTCTTTCGGGAAGGGACACTATTCTAGACACGTTTCAGAGTAACAGCCATGTTAGTCTGTATTCGCAAAAAGAAAAGGAGTACTTGTGGCACCTTAGAGACTAACCAATTTACTTGAGCATAAGCTTACGTGAGCTACAGCTCACTTCATCGGATGCATACTGTGGAAAGTTTAGAAGATCTTATTATATACACACAAAGCATGAAAAAATACCTCCTCCCACCCCACTCTCCTGCTGGTAATAGCTTATCTAAAGTGATCACTCTCCTTACAATGTGTATGATAATCAAGTTGGGCCATTTCCAACACAAATCTAGGTTTTCTCACACACACCCCCCCCCCCACACACACACACAAACTCACTCTCCTGCTGGTAATAGCTTATCCAAAGTGACCACTCTCCTTACATTGTGTATGATAATCAAGGTGGGCCATTTCCAGCACAAATCCAGGATTTAACAAGAACGTCGGGGGGGGGTAGGAAAAAACAAGGGGAAATAGGCTACCTTGCATAATGACTAAGCCACTCCCAGTCTCTATTCAAGCCTAAGTTAATTGTATCCAATTTGCAAATGAATTCCAATTCTAGACACATCTCTTGTTCCCAGAGGGGACTGTGTTCAGCACACACCTCAAGGTCCCAGTGGGGACAGTCTGTGTGTCACACTTCTGGTTTCTGCAGGATCAGTATACATGACACACCCCTTGTTTAATGGGAGAGGGGGACAGTATTCACGTCACACCTCTTGGTTCCACAGAGGACAGCATGCATATCACACCTCATTTCCAGGAGGAGTACTATTGGTAACACACCCTTTGTTTCTGGAAGGGAGAGTATTTGTCACACACATCTTCTTTCTGGAGGGCACAGTATTCGTGACACACCCCTTGTTCCTAGAGGAGACAGACTTTGTGTCACACTTCTTGTTTCCAGGAGAAGTACTATTGATGACGCACCCCTTGTTTTTGGAGGGGACAGTATTCCTGACTCACCCCCATCTTTCCAGGTGGAATGCTATTGACAACATATCCCTGGGGTTCCCAAGCCTGCATATGAGATTTTTTCACTGAGGGAATGTGACCGAGAAGACATTGAACATATCTTGTCACAGGAAGAATTATATTGGGGAAAATTAAAATCACACCATCTGCAAAGCAGACTGCTACAGCAGGGAATTAAACTACTTCCTGTTTCTGAAGAAGACTAACAAAACACACCATATTTTGTATTATACATAAAATGTTACTGAGTAACCATAGATCATTATTGATTTCTGAGAGGACAGCAGGATACTATTTGAGTGTTGCTATTAATATTTACTCCAGAAACAAGATGGCTGGGGCTGCACCCCAATGCACAAAGTTTCTAATAGCTGCAGCCCTCGCACACATTTGAATCCTGCATGGAGAAACGCACTCTCTAACTGATTGCCTCCCATACGTGCCCCTCCTGGACTAGGGCAACCTCTCAGATCTAGGTTTCAGAGTAGCAGCCATGTTAGTCTGTATTCGGAAAAAGAAAAGGAGTACTTGTGGCACCCTAGAGACTAACCAATTTATTTGAGCATAAGCTTTCATGAGCTACAGCTCACTTCATCGGATGCATTCAGTGGAAAATACAGCGAGAGTTATATACACACAGAACACGAAAAAATGGGTGTTATACACACTGTAAGGAGAGTGATCACTTAAGATGAGCTAATATCAGCAGGAGAGTGGGGGGGGGAGGGCGGGGAAGAAAATCTTTTGTAGTGATAATCAAGGTGGGCCATTTCCAGCAGTTAACAGGAACGTCTGAGGAACAGTGGGGGATTGGGGGGGGAAACTAAACATGGGGAAATAGTTTTACTTTGTGTAATGACCCATCCACTCCCAGTCTCTAGTCAAGCCTAAGTTAATTGTATCCAATTTGCAAATTAATTCCAATTCAGCAGTCTCTCGTTGGAGTCTGTTTTTGAAGTCTTTTTTTGTAATATTGCGACTTTTAGGTCTGTAATCGAGTGACCAGAGAGATTGAAGTATTCTCCGACTGGTTTTTGAATGTTATAATTCTTGACATCTGATTTGTGTCCATTTATTCTTTTACGTAGAGACTGTCCAGTTTGGCCAATGTACATGGCAGAGGGGCATTGCTGGCACATGATGGCATATATCACATTGGTAGATGTGCAGGTGAACGAGCCTCTGATAGTGTGGCTGATGTGATTAGGCCCTATGATGGTGTCCCCTGAATAGATATGTGGACACAGTTGGCAACGGGCTTTGTTGCAAGGATAGGTTCCTGGGTTAGTGGTTCTGTTGTGTGGTTGCTGGTGAGTATTTGCTTCAGCTTGGGAGGCGGTGTCTGTAGGCAAGGACTGGCCTGTCTCCCAAGATTTGTGAGAGTGATGGGTCATCCTTCAGGATAGGTTGTAGATCCTTGATGATGCGTTGGAGAGGTTTTAGTTGGGGGCTGAAGGTGATGGCTAGTGGCGTTCTGTTGTTTTCTTTGTTGGGCCTGTCCTGTCGTAGGTGACTTCTGGGTACTCTTCTGGCTCTGTCCATCTGTTTCTTCACTTCAGCAGGTGGGTATTGTAGTTGTAAGAATGCTTGATAAGAGATCTTGTAGGTGTTTGTCTCTGTCTGAGGGGTTGGAGCAAATGCGGTTGTATCGTAGAGCTTGGCTGTAGACGATGGATCGTGTGGTATGGTCTAGGTGAAAGCTGGAGGCATGTAGGTAGAAATAGCGGTCAGTGGGTTTCTGGTATAGGGTGGTGTTTATGTGACCGTCGTTTGTTAGCACCAGAGTGTCCAGGAAGTGGATCTCTTGTGTGGACTGGTCCAGGCTGAGGCTGATGGTGGGATGGTGTTAAGGAAAAGTTAGCAAATGTGACTCCATTTTGGTTTGGGGCCCACCATTGTCTAAAAGCAAGCACATCATGCACCAGGAGGAGTGTTTCTTAGATACTGCATTCCCGTGAAAATCCTCCCCCCACGCCTTGTTTCCAGCCTGTTTTAACTTCCGGTTTCTGTTCTTTGTCTGTTCTTAACTCCCTGCCTCCTGGCCTTGATGTGGGCTTCCCATCCTGATAAGAAAAGTTACTGATGCATTGCTTTAGGACCATGTAATGTAGCTGAAGTAATGTTTTAGCATGGGGAATGTACCTAGCAGGGATAGGTGGTTGATAAGCGAAGGGTTTGTCTATTGGCTAAGGTTTCCAATGCATGAGGGCAACATGCTTTGCTAAAATGTATATAATCTTTGTATAACCTGCATGTGGGGTCCCCTCCTGATTAGCAGGGGGGCACCACGCTCGAGTGTAATAAACTTAGTATCTTTGGGAACTCTGCAGTTGTGGACTTTGTTCATGTGCTTCAGCCTAGACTCGAACTGTGCGTGACCTGTCGGGTATAATTCGCAGCAGTTCCTGTGCGTGACCTGTCGGGTATAATTCATAACAGATGGAAATTGTTGAAATCATGGTGGAATTCCTCAAGGGCTTCTTTTCCATGGGTCCAGATGATGAAGATGTCATCAATGTAGTGCAAGTAGAGTAGGGGCTTTAGGGGACGAGAGCTGAGGAAGCGTTGTTCTAAGTCAGCCATAAAAATGTTGGCATACTGTGGGGCCATGCGGGTACCCATAGCAGTGCTGCTGATTTGAAGGTATACATTGTCCCCAAATGTGAAATAGTTATGGGTGAGGACAAAGTCATGAAGTTCAGCTTCCAGGTTTGCCGTGACATTATCGGGGATACTGTTCCTGACGGCCTGTAGTCCATCTTTGTGTGGGATGTTGGTGTAGAGGGCTACTACATCCACAGTGGCCAGGATGGTGTTTTCAGGAAGATCACCGATGGATTGTAGTTTCCTCAGGAAGTCAGTGGTGTCTCGAAGATAGCTGGGAGTGCTGGTAGCGTAGGGCCTGAGGAGGGAGTCTACATAGCCAGACAATCCTGCTGTCAGGGTGCCAATGCCTGAGATGATGGGGCGTCCAGGATTTCCAGGGTTATGGATCTTGGGTAGCAGATAGAATACCCCAGGTCGGGTTCCAGGGGTGTGTCTGTGCGGATTTGTGCTTGTTCTTTTTCAGGGAGTTTCTTGAGCAAATGCTGTAGTTTCTTTTGGTAACCCTCAGTGGGATCAGAGGGTAATGGCTTGTAGAAAGTGGTGTTGGAGAGCTGCCGAGCAGCCTCTTGTTCATATTCCGACCTATTCGTGATGACGACAGCACCTCCTTTGTCAGCCTTTTTGATTATGATTTTAGAGTTGTTTCTGGGGCTGTGGATGGCATTGTGTTCCGCACGGCTGAGGTTATGGGGCAAGTGATGCTGCTTTTCTACAATTTTAGCCCGTGCATGTCAGCGGAAGCACTCTATGTAGAAGTCTAGTCTGTTGTTTTGACCTTCAGGAGGAGTCCACCTAGAATCCTTCTTTTTGTAGTCTTGGTAGGAAGGTCTCTGTGGATTAGTATGTTGTTCAGAGGTGTGTTGGAAATATTCCTTGAGTTGGAGACGTCAAAAATAGGATTCTAGGTCACCACAGAACTGTATCGTGTTCGTGGGGGTGGAGGGGCAGAAGGAGAGACCCCGAGATAGGATAGATTCTTCTGCTGGGCTAAGAGTATAGTTGGATAGATTAACAATATTACTGGGTGGGTTAAGGGAACCATTGCTGTGGCCTCTTGTGGCATGTAGTAGTTTAGATAGTTTAGTGTCCTTTTTCTTTTGTAGAGAAGCAAAGTGTGCGTTGTTAATGGCTTGTCTAGTTTTTGTAGAGTCCAGCCAGGGGCCAGCTGTGAGCTGTCCTCTTTCCCCAACTCCCAAAGCCTCTAAACAAGCAGTTACGGGGAAAAAAACAAACCCTCCCCATTATGAGTTTGTGTGAAAAACTCATGTCCCCAAAAACCATCTCCTTGGACTAGAAAATGTTCCTCATTCCATCACTAGTGTTCCCTACCCACCCAATGAAAATTGTTTCTCTTCCAAATAAACAGGAAGTAGCCCTCCTCCCATAACCACATTTATCCCCAGCTTTTAAGTGCTGTACGTTCCATCAATAGTAACCTGTCTGAACATAAAATGCCCCAAGTCCCATCAAGGGTGTATTCCATGAAAAACAAGCAACACCCCAAATCCACTGTATACTGTCCCCCACAGAAACAAGAAATAGCCCACATACTAATCAAAGTGAGCCCCAGTGACGTTCCCAAGGGTAAAACCTGAACCGCTCAACTCCTATGTCCCTTTAACTCTGCTCTGCTAGAGAAAAGCAGCCTCTCCACACTCTGCTCAAACACATACATGAACATGTACAGTCGCTCCCAGCCGCTCATGAACAATGTTGTTACGAATTATACCTGATAGGACACGCACACAACTGCTGCGAATTATACCTGGTAGGTCACGCACACAAATGCTGCGAATTATACCTGATAGGTCACGCACAGTTCGAATCTAGGCTGAGGCACATGAACAAAGTCCACAACTGCAGAGTTCCCAAAAAAACACCAAGTTTATTACGCTCAAGTGTGGTGCCCCCCTGCTAGCCAGGAGGGGACCCCGAATACAGATTATACAAAGGTTATATACCTCTTAGCAAAGCATGTTGCCCTCGTGCATTGGAAACCTTAGCCAATAAACAAACCCTTTTCTTATCTACCACCTACCCCTGCTTGGTGCATTCCTCATGCTAAACTCGTATGTTAATTACACAGCATGGTCCTAAAGCAATGCATCAGTAACTTTTATTATCAGGATGGGAGGCCTCACATCAAAGGCCAGGAGATAGGGAGTTAGGGACAGACAAAGAACAGATACTGGGAGTCAAGGCACGCTGGAGACAAGGAGGAGGATTTTCACAGGAATGCAGTATCTAAGGAACACTCCTCCTGGTGCATGATGTGCTTGCTTTTA